AATTCGTCGCTGTGCTTATTAGCCATGCTTTCGCCGGCTGCTCGAAGCATTTCTTCTTTCTGTTGCAGACGACTCTCCGCTTGGGCAAACTCCAACCGAAGTTGGGCAGCACCGGATAGCGCCTGTGCATGAAGCTGGTTGAATTGCTCCCTATGCAAATTGTTTGCTTCGGCCATGATCAATCTGTGGCGTGCTTCAGCTTCAGCTGCAACGGCTGGTCCTGTGTCTACTTGATGCACATGGACTGCTTGTTGCACCGTTGGCGCAAGGACATTTTGTTGATAGTAGTTCGCGACGTTTCTGATCTCGCTGGGTGAATATTGGGCCGCATTATATTGTTGAGGCGATCCCGCCAGGGATGCGAGTTGGTGCGCTGGGCTTGAGACATATGCCCATTCTGACACCGCTCCTGGTGCACCTCTTCGGGGATCTGGTTGGGCCATCACGGCCAAGGCCTCTGCCGTCAGAGGAACAACTTGGCCACCCTCTCGGGTACCGGGGACAGCCGGATCCGTGCCATCGTCTTGGACGGACATGGCAGGAAGAGAACTGAGGTCCTCGGTATCGACGCGAGCCGCGGAAATGTCTATCGCGGGAATACCTGCAGGATTTACGGGAGCATCCATCGCGATCTACAAACGAAGTGAGACCTACGGCTGATAACCTATGTTTACAGGCAGAACAGCCTGAATGCAGACGCATATTTTCTTGAGCCAATGAACGACAGTAGGTGCAGGTGACTAGCTACATCTTCCACAAAATACAGGGTTTAGGGGTTTAGGGTTTAGGGTTTAAGGGTTTAGGGTTTAGGGTTCGGGCATGCTTTTAGGGTTTAGGGCAGAGAGGGGCCTAGGCCTTAGGGTTCTGTTCCTTTAGTAGGGGTCTACAAGGGCTACTGTAAGGGGTTTAAGCGTAGGCTTTTGTGTTTAGTGTTTGGTCATGTGTTTAGAGATTCGGGCCTGAGGGTTCTGTTTCGGTTTTCAGGACCGTTTAGGGCTCAGGGGTTGGGGGTTCAGGGTATTCGGGCTTGGGATGTCGTTTTTCTTTCTGGGTATAAAGCGTGCGGGGTAGTGGTTTGAAGGTTCAGGGCATTCTACTAGGGTTTAATGGTTCAGAGATGTGTATTTTCGTCTACATACACGATAAATGTACACACCAGGAAGCTTAATGGCTCTGCGGCTATTCAACTGCAGAGGCACCAGTTTCTTTTTCTCGCAGGATTTTGGAATGCTCATAAACAACGAAAGTGTGTAAGCTTCGTCGTTGCGGCCAGAGGTACTTCTGGCGTCGATGTGTGGCACGCGGGTTGTCGCGCCATACGCACCGTCAGCCAATCTTGGCTCTCAGATCAATGCTGGGCGTTGCACCAACATGGTGCGGTACGCAGCCTGATCAACCTCGACGCCGTCAGCGTGCTCATCGCTGGTAATTATCTTGGAAATCTCATCGGACAAGGGCTTCGAGATGTTGGCAAATGAGCACGCAATGCGGCTGGTTCAACCCTGCGTGACAATGCCGCAAAGGCAAAGCAAGCCGCCTGTGGTGGACGGATCAATGTGAAACTTCTTGTCAAAGACTCTCTGGACACTTGCAATTGCTGCTGTCGCATTGAGCGTCTCTGTGGTGCTCTTGTTTCTTGTTGTGATATGGGAGCGTCCGAAAACTAGGGGTACCCTATTTTGGGGCCCTTATAATAACAGAAGGGACTGCCATGGGGCCTGGGTTTTTGCATACCCAGTGTTTTGCACTTTTTGCGCTACTTGTTGTTCGGTGCTTGTCGTTCGGGGTTGCTTTGCATGCTTCGGAAGGCCCTCTGGACCCCTGGAAGTCCTGCAAGCAGTAGTTATAAGCACAAGCCTTGCACCTTACAACCCAAACCAAAAAAACCAAAAAAAACAAAGATTTCCGCACTAGTCGGAATCCTTCAGACTAGTGCGGAAATCTTTGTTTTTTTTGTTTTTTTTTGTTTTTTTGGTTTTTTTGGTTTGTTTGGTTTTTTTGGTTTTTTTGGTTTCCGCCACCGCTGACGTGCCCGGACAACCTTCCGCTGTGGCTGTTCTTTTGGGTGTAGGGTCTACGTAAACAAGACTACTCTCTAATATATCTTAAGTGATGCTTATAAGCAGTCCGGCTGCTTATGATTCCACGCAGGCTTTCTGCTTATAAGCAATCCGGCTGCTTAGAAGCAGGCTGTCTGCTTATAAGCAATCCGGCTGCTTATAAGCAGGCTGTCTGCTTACAAGCAGGCCGGTTGCGGCCTTCTGCTTATTGGCCCTGCTTCTGCTTATAAGCAATATCCTGTTGTTTACAGGCACTCGGGGGCCGTATGAGTAGCTATTCTAACCCCACCCACGCGTGCGCCAGACACCAACCAAGACGGAGAACACGAGAACCCACACCAATTGCACAAACATTACCGTAAATTTGATATCCTGACCTGTTGCATGTTTGATATGGAAGAACATGCCAAGCTTATCTAGCATACCACACGACCTGAATTTGTTATTATTTCCGGTTTCATGGTGTGTGCTAAGAATTCAATGGACCAAGCACCATGTAAACCATAGGGATATATCAAGGGGAATCGCGAGGATGGAAGGCATCCAGATGGGCCTCGACCATAAGGAATCGTGGAGACTTATCTCTTGAACACGTGGTCATATACTGCCACACCATGTCATAGAATAGATACCAGGTGCTAGAAAGTCCCTTCTACACGTGGACTTTGCCTTTTTATACACACAAATATTGCAGACGCACATGTAGATAAGTTATCTGACCATATTCCATCTATCTATCTGCCTATCCATGTATCTATCCACCTATCTATTTGTCTACCCATCCATCTGTACATTCATATACATACTGGTCTCAGCATGGATGATGTCACCGACCTCTTAACCTGGCAACTTAGAGATATTGTAGAACCCTGATACAACCTATGACAGGATATGTTATGGCACCGCACAAGAGACAAAGCACACGTGTACAGTGTATATGTTTTCGCCGATTTGCAGAAATACCGTCTTGACACGGTCACATTAGCTGTGCGTTGTTGTGGGGCCCATTATAGCAAGTCATTGCGGCTGTTTTGAGATATTGCAATAAACATTGAACTGAGTACTCACACGCCACAGCCTTCAACGAGTCAAGACATAGGGGAATCAGAACACGGAAAGTCGGTTCTGCCCCCGAGAGTACCGGCTGTTGAAGTTGTAGAATACGCTGGAACGATGTATGAAGTAATTACTCATGTTTAATACTTCATGTCATTTCGCTTACAAGCGCTGGCGTATCTGCCGTGCACTTCGTATTGAGGCAGTAGAGCGTACCATGGTAGTGCAAACACAGAAGCAGTGCATGCATAGGCTTGTGAGTGTATGTATCCCTGTATGACTTAACGAAGGCATGCCCGGGTTTCTGTGTGCATCGTTAGTTACAGCGCCATAAAACCAGATGTGTATAATATGTGTTCCCCTACTGGCAGCAATATATACAGTTTTGCGATAGTCATTGGGGTTGCGGATAGGTCTGAGACGACACAGAAGCAAGTCGTACTGACATGCTGAAATACTACAGCTGCGTAGTACTCTCGCAAACAGACAGACCTTCTCTGCACCTTAGATTACCGGGTGTTAACGTGGTAGGTTAACGTGTTAAAACAAGCTGGAATGATACATGAGACAACTACTTAAATGATTCTTTCATTTCGCTTGGAAGCAGCTGAAGCAGCTTAGTGGATTGTGGTGGTAGAGCATTCCACGGTAGTGCAAATATACAAAAACACATGTACGGGCTTTTGAGTTTATGCTTGCGTGCATGTGTATCTGTAAGAGCAAACATGCCTGCGCATTCACGTATATATACATGCACATACGTACTGCATAATGTTACTTTTGTGAACATTAGCATGCGTAATTGCATGCGTGCATAATACAATTCTATATGAGACCAAGAAACACAGTACTCAAAAAACCCAGGCCCCATGGCAGGCCGCTCTCTATAATAAGGATCCTACTGCTTAGGGTACTATATTAGGGTCCCCTATTTTCGGAAACCCCCATATTTGTTGTGCCCGAGCTCGCCATGGAGTCAGCGCGAGCTTGTGGTGTCACCGCAATCCTTAAGGACGAAATGAACCTCAAAAGGTTTTAAGGTTCATATACCTTATAGGGATTCACAATATAAGGGTATAGGACCACTACTTATGAGGGCCATTTGGTCCCCAAGGATCAGATGGTGAAAAGCAATCGCAAGGTAGAAAAACCTTAAGCCGTAGCCAGGGGTTAAGGTTTAGGGTTTAGGGCTAGAGAGCTTGGGATTTTTGGGTTTGGCTCTGGGGTTTCCGATGGAAGCAGTCAGGGTTTAGGGTTTCGGTGAAGGTGTTTGGGGCTTACTTGGAGGGTCGGGGGACTTAGTAACTGGCTATTTTAGGGACTTACAAGTACCATAACCCCAATTAGGGTCCCTTTTAGGGTACTTATAAGTCTACTTACTACCTACTTACTAAGTCCCCCGACCCTCCAAGTAGGGAGGTGGAGACTTCGGGCTTAGCATGGCCAGGTCCTCGGTGATCGTCGGTGTGCGTCACAGCCAGGCCGCTCGCACGGTGTAGAGCAAGCCAGGGCTTATAGGGTGTAGAGTTTGTTATGTGTGGTTGGAGAGGGTGAATCCTTACACACTGTGTGTGACACTGTACTCGAGTGTTCCTGAACAACCTCAATCAACCAACATGTGGGTAGTTGTCAAAATTCAGGTTCCTTTCCGGGTACCCTAAATAATAGGTGCCGTATCATAATAGGGACCCAAAAAGGGACCATGATTTCGACAACCACCCATGTGATATTCCCTGAAAACACAGGATGGACCCCTCTACACAATATATATATATATATATATATATACATACATAAGAGATGGTACTTACAATCGGAACTATCAGGAGTACTTATGAAGCTCTCTTGGAGACTCTGTGGGATAAGCCCTACAGAGTCGCTTGCCTTTCGGTTGTGCCGATCATCGTACCTGGGCTCTTGACCGACATTGGCGGTTTGTGGGACTTGCGTGCGCCTTGGGGTTCGGGTCTTTGGGTTTTGAAAAATTTCAGAGTTAAGTGCCTAAATCCGTTTACAACAGAATCGGAAGTCAGTGTCACGTGCACCTTGACGCCCTGGACTTTACCCTGATCCCTATCTGACCCGAAACAGCCCAGCACACACGCCACGTTGAAGTCAGAATTGCCGGGAATGTTGCCACCTACAAGATCCATTACAAATTCTACAATTCTGACCTGCCCCTTATTTAACTCCCCCTCCTCACCACAACATAAACAAAAACAACAACTCTCGCAAACCCTCGTAATCTAGTTGAAGCTGGCCCGAGACTTTAAGCATCCATGCATACTAGAGGTCCATGCACCGCTGTGGTACACACAGTACATGGACATTGCTGTTTTGTGCTTAGGACCTTAGGAGTTTCGATACATGGCTTAGAGAGTTGTATTATCTGAAGGGATGCTGTGTACAATGGTTCGAGGTGTTACATATCGCACTCTGCCATGCAGGTCGGCCTGCAAACTCCTTGTATTCATTCAGAGTTCCAAAGTCTTGGAATCTGGCGTGACGAAAACGGAAGTCTAATATAAGGACCTTAATAATTAGAATAGGGTTTCGGGACCCATTATACTATAAATACAATAAGGAACCCCTAAAATTTATTAAGGCCCCTATAGTAAACACCAAAAGCCTGAACCGTGTTTACCCCAAAATGCCAAAGCCCGACACCCCACCCGGATCCCAAAACTTTAGACTTTAAGGGCCCTAAACCCTAAACCCCGAATTAAATCATAAACCCCTAAACCCTAAAGCCCTAAACCCTAAAGCCCTAGACCCTCAACCCTAAACTCCTAAACCCCCAAACCCTAAAACCCTAAACCCCCAAACCCTAAAACCCTGAATTACAAAGCCCTAAACCTGTAAACCCTCAACCCTAAACCCCTAAACCATCCCTAGACCTAAGAGTACCCTAGGAATGAAAAGGGTGCCCTTCTTGGTTTAAAGGGGCTTATAAGGGAACCTGAACCCTAAAAAAAGGGAATAAGGGCCTACTCCAGGTCCTAGATCCAATCAAGGCCGGCATGCTCCAGGTTGTCGAGCAAGGAAGAGACCTGCCCGGAACTGAGGTGAGGGCTGGCGGCCTAGCCGGAGTTTGGGTCGAGACTGCGCCCTAACGGTTTAGAGTTTAGGGTTTAGGGTTTAGGGTTCTAAACCTACCTGTACCCTACATAACCTATTTTTCATTTTTACGGACTTATAAAAGGAATTCATGATCAGGAGCACAAAAAAGGTAGGATCTTCAGGGCCCAGGTAGACCTTAACTAAACCGCCTAAACCCTGAGCCCCACACCCTCAGGGTTTATGCGCCTGGGTACTGCGCCCTAAACCCTAAACCCCTATACCCCAAAGAAGGAGATTCATCAGGTATACTCTGTCTTGATCATAAGACGGTGCGGTTATAGGGCTTCTGCTCAGTTACGTATGGGTTTTCGGAGCCCTGCAAAGGTTCGAACAGATCCCTGAATTCGGGCGATTAAAAGCCTGTGACCTGAAGCCCAACCCCCTCAAGCAATTGCTAGACTGAACTTAGACTCCTAGCAAAAAAACTGATTTGAGCTGTTTCTTTGGGGTTATAAGAACCAAAAACTAAAAGCAATTTCTACGTACCCCTAGGTTCAGGCGGTTCTTTCAGGGGGTTTTGAACATGAGCAGATACCCCTGCTAGACGACGGATATCTCGAAAAGTTCCGCAAAGTGTTACCCAGAGCTACAGTGTAGAACCCGTAAACTCTGTGAAACCCTAAAGCCCCATACCTTCGGCTGGAATCCGGTTTAGGGTGTGGGGTTCGCGGTTCAGATGGGTTTAGGGTTTAAGCCTCTCGTGGTTGTTGCCTGGCGGTCCGGGAGTGGAGCGGGTTCGAGCTTCAGGATTTAGGGTTGTGATGTTTAGGGTCACGGCCTTTAGGGTTTTAGGCAACAGTTGAGAGTCAATGTTATTAAACAGACCCTGTTCTAATTGTAAAGCCCCTACACTATATTACCCATCTAGATCCCTTAAGTTGCCCCTTAAAGGAGCCCTTTACAGGAACCCAACTCGTTTCTTAGGCCCTTCATGGCTATAGTGCCCTGAATCTATGAGCTGAATGCTGAAACTTTCTGTTCAGCAAGCCCTTCCAAGGACTCTAAGGTGTCACTACTTAGAGGATCATGGGCTTGGTAAATAGGGTTATAAGTACCTTAATTCAGGTTATACGTGTAAATATATATATATATATATATATATATATAGATATATAGAGGCGCCTCTAGGGTCTATTTTACGCTCTATTCTTTTCTGTATGACTACTATTAATTTAAATAATTGAAATAATTTTTATCAGCAGAGTTGATTTCAATTATTTCAATTATGTAAATCCGCAAAAGAGCCCGGCGTATTTAAATAATTGAAATAATTGAAATCGATGGTTGTTCTGGGCCAAGCCACGAATCCCACCGAATTGAATTATTCAAATAATTGAAATAATTGAAATAATTGAAATCGCCCCCATTTCAATTATTTCAATTATTTAAATCAGCCAAATGGCCCAAATAATTGAAATAATTGAAATCGCACCCCATTTCAATTATTTCAATTATTTCAATTATGTAAATAATTCAAATCCCCGGATTTGGTGGCTTGGGCCCATCGAACCTTCGGATTTCAATTATTTCAATTATTTAAATCCGCAAAAGAGCCCGGCGGATTTAAATAATTGAAATAATTGAAATCGATGGTTGTTCTGGGCCAAGCCACGAATCCCACCGAATTGAATTATTTAAATAATTGAAATAATTGAAATCGCCCCCATTTCAATTATTTCAATTATTTAAATCCGCCAAATGGCCCAAATAATTGAAATAATTGAAATCGCACCCCATTTCAATTATTTCAATTATGTAAATAGTTCAAATGCCCGGATTTGGTGGCTTGGGCCCATCGAACTTTCGGATTTCAATTATTTCAATTATTTAAATCCGCAAAAGAGCCCGGCGGATTTAAATAACTGAAATCGATGGTTGTTCTGGGCCAAGCCACGAATCCCACCGAATTGAATTATTCAAATAATTGAAATAATTGAAATATTTGAAATAATTGAAATCGCCCCCATTTCAATTATTTCAATTATTTAAATCCGCCAAATGGCCCAAATAATTGAAATAATTGAAATCGCACCCCATTTCAATTATTTCAATTATGTAAATAGTTCAAATGCCCGGATTTGGTGGCTTGGGCCCATCGAACTTTCGGATTTCAATTATTTCAATTATTTAAATCCGCAAAAGAGCCCGGCGGATTTAAATAACTGAAATCGATGGTTGTTCTGGGCCAAGCCACGAATCCCACCGAATTGAATTATTCAAATAATTGAAATAATTGAAATATTTGAAATAATTGAAATCGCCCCCATTTCAATTATTTCAATTATTTAAATCCGCCAAATGGCCCAAATAATTGAAATAATTGAAATCGCACCCCATTTCAATTATTTCAATTATTTCAATTATGTAAAAAATTCAAATCCCCGGATTTGGTGGCTTGGGCCCATCGAACCTTCGGATTTCAATTATTTCAATTATTTAAATCCGCAAAAAAACCCGGCGGATTTAAATACTTGAAATAATTGAAATCGATGGTTGTTCTGGGCCAAGCCACGAATCCCACCGAATTGAATTACTTAAATAATTGAAATAATTGAAATATTTGAAATCGCCCCCATTTCAATTATTTCAATTATTTAAATAATTCAAATCCCCGGATTTGGTGGCTTGGGCCCATCGAACCTTCGGATTTCAATTATTTCAATTATTTAAATCCGCAAAAGAGCCCGGCGGATTTAAATAATTGAAATAATTGAAATCGATGGTTGTTCTGGGCCAAGCCACGAATCCCAACGATTCGAATTATTTTTCAATTGTGACAACAATAAATTGAAATCCTGCGGTTCTGTGGATGGGGCCCACGGACCACCCCCCCCCCCCCCCACTACCACCCACCCACCCCACCCCTGCCCCCACCCCCCCCGCGCCACCACCCCAACCATGCCAGCAAAACCCCACCCCCACCCCACCCACCACCAGCCCACTCCCACTCCCCCAAACCCACCCCTCACGCCCCACCATCCACCCCATCACACACCCTCCCCTTTGCCATTTGCCCCCTGCCCCCTGCCATCTCCATCATATCCATCACCCCCATCATCTTCTTCATCTCCATCATCTTCATCATCTCCATCATCTCCATCATCTTCATCATCTCCATCATCTCCATCATCTCCATCATCTTCATCATCTCCATCACCTCCATCATCTCCATCATCTTCATCATCTTCATCATCTCCATCATCTTCATCATCTTCATCATCTCCATCATCTTCATCATCTTCATCATCTCCATCATCTCCATCATCTTCATCATCGTCATCATCTTCGTTGCCGGTTTCATTGGTTTTAATACCGCTCCCTCTATTCTTAAAGGTAATTTCATAGGTATTATACGAACCATAATACAATCGATTTGTCTTAACTACTATATCAAGAATAGCTTACCACATCGCATCTACATACTTTGTAACCGGGCTTACTATAAAGGCCCCATATGAGGGATCCATAATGGGTTTCTAGAAAGTCTCTCTGTAAGGGATCTATAGTTTTTTATATAATGGATTTCTATAAGGTCTCTACATAGAGGATCTATAAGATTTCTATAAGCAATCTGTAAGGGTTTTCCAGAAGGGCTCCATGCGAGGGATCTATACAGGGCTTCCATGTGGTTTCTACAAAGGGTAAGGAATATATAGCAGTTGTCTATGAAAGCTCCATGTAAGGGATCTTGCAAAGTTTTCTACAAAGAACTCCATTTGTTGATCTATACGGGGTTTCTATCAGTTCTCTATATAGGGGATCTATAAAGTTTCTATACGAATCTATAAAGGCTGTCTATGAGGGCTCCATACAAGGGATCTGTGAAGGGATCTATAGGGATTCTTCATGGGAATGTATACCTGCGATACGGATAATTGCGCCTTTGTTAAGATCGTGAAGACTATTAACTACGTGATATCCTTCTTGGCTAATGCTGTGATCACATCAGATCTGATATGTATAGAGATACATTGGAAGGCACATGGGAAAACAAACTGACACATTACAGGCCTTCTAATGTGTCATTATTCCTATTGAAACCCTAAAGGCAAGGAGCTTATACACTGTAGGGCATCTGTATATTGGAAGGCCTCTGGGTAGTATAAATTGACGCATTACAGGCCCTCTAATGTGTCACTGCACTCCCTCCTATGGAACCTCTATTGCAATGGAACTTTTCCACTGGAAAACCCCTGGACATAATAAACTGACACACTGCAAGCCCTATAATGTGTCGCTCCACCTATCCTATTGAAACCTTCCCGATAAGAAATTGATACATCGGAAAGCACTTTTTATGGACATAACAAACGGGCACATTAAACCCACTATAATGTGTATCTTCACTTCCTGGGTCCTGGACTGGGCAAATTGACATATTACATGCCCTCTAATGTGTCACTCCATTTCTCCTACTGAAACCCTACTAACAAGGAACTTATACACTGTCAGGCCCCTGTACCTGGGCATATCAAACTGACATATTACAGGCACCCTAATGTGTCACTCCACCCACTCCGATTGACCCTCTACTGACAAGAAACTTATACACTGGAAAGTCCAGGACATAACTGATTGGCACATTACATGCCCTGTAAAGTGTTACTCCACTCCCTGTTCAAACTCTATTGACCTGGGCATAACGAATTAACACATTACAAGCCCTCTAATGTGTCACTTCACCCCTTCTATTGAAAGTATATTGACAAGGAAAAACCCTACTTTGGAAGGCTCCTGGACACAGCGACCTGACACATTACAGACCCTCTAATGTGTTACTCCATTCTCCATGGAAACCTATTGACAAGGAACTTATACACTGAAGCGACCCTGTATATTGGAAGGCCCCTGGGCAGAACAAACTGACACAATATAGACTCTCTAATGTGTCACTCCACTCCCGCCTATCGAAACTCTTTTGGCGAGGAACTTATACACTCGAAAGCGCGCAGACAGAACAAACGGACACATTACAAGCCTTTGACCTGTCACGCCCACTCATCCTACTGAAGCCCTCTTGATATGAAGCTGATACATCGGAAAGCCCTTCTTACGGACAGAAGAAACTGGCACATTGCAGGGGCTATAATGTTTCTCTTCACTTCCTGGACAGGGCGAACCAATACATTACATGCACTCCTCCTATTGAAACCCTATTGACAAGGAACTAGTTTGTTCAGACCTGGCTTGCCTCAGTAGATATATGTAGCATATGTAGCAACAGAATATAACAGGCAACGAGTTGTAGTAAGTGTTGCGACAGCATCATGTGATATGGATGTGTCATGCCGTATGTATTCCCATAATTTGTCATATGAACACATCCGATTCATGAGTACCGAACCTGTCAGGTTTTGCATTCCGGCCTGTGCGGAAATTACAAACAAATTTATGCCATATTACAGCGTGCATGCTTATTACGTGATTCTTGGATGGATATGTCGTATGCAATTACTCAAGCGCTGGCAAGTCAACAATAAGTCGAATGGTGAAATATTTGGACAGGACAATTTGTCCATGTTGCCGATATACTGCTGACAGTGCTATGCATATCTCCACGACGATACATCATTCCTGCAAGATGTATGGACTCTATACACTGAAATGTGTCATCACAACGAATGTTTATTCATCGACAGTGTTGGGATCAACACCCGATGTTCTGTTTATATAATACTCGTCTCCCTGAATGCGAGTAATTTGCTATAATTACTTGGTAGAAAAATATAGCCTAGTCGATCCGAAACTTTTCAGGTCGTGGCTTTGTAATGTGGGCTGTGCTTATACCTTATATTTTGCTTTCCATTATGTGCTGAAGACAACAAACCGCGGTTATATAGAGCCTAAAGGTATCGGGCACATATATATATATAAGTAGCTTAATTCAGGTTATACATATATATATATAGAGATAGATAGATAGATACTTGTAGCCCTACTTACTAAGTCCCCTGATCCTCCAAAGTAGACCCTAAACCCGAAACCCTATAGATCTCTTTAAGGAACCCTATAGATCCCTTAAAAAAACCCTTAATGACACTAAACCCCATAGATCCCTTTAAGGAACCCTATAGATCCCTTGGAGGAAGCCTTGATCTCACTAAACCCCCAACCCTCAGCTCTGAAACTGAAAACATTCAGGCTTGCCCCTCAATCTCTCGCCTGAAACACTCCACCCAAGCCCTACCTTAACTAGGAGACCCAGTAACCTAAGAATAAAAAGGCCACTCTTTTTGGTATTGGGTAACTTTATAAGGAACCTAGGACTACAAAAAGGGAATAAGCGTACTACTGGGCATCCTGGCCGGAATAACCCACCCTGTTTAAGGACTTATATAAGGGTTTAGGGTTTGGGGTATAATAAGGAACCCTAAAAAGGTAGGTTATTCAGGGTATTGGTGAGCCCAGAGACTCCAACGACCCCTTCGTGAAGCAAGATACCTTGAGTCATTTTTGGGGGTCCTACTAATTATGGGGGCTATTCCTTAATTTCAAGGGGTTTTGGACTCCCTGGGAATTCTGGGAACTGCTGCTATAGGGGCCTTAGCAACTAAAATAAGGGTTGGGCGCATACCATTTAGTATGAGTATAATGGAGCCGCCACAATAGTATAGGTGATTATTAAGGCCCCTAAAATAAAACCCTCTTTAGTAGCCGTTATAGTAACCCTTACAAAGCCCTAGTTTGGTATTATTATGGCAGTCATCCAGGCCCCCAAAACCCTAAACCCTAACCCTTAAACCCTATTAAACCCCTGGCCCTAAACCCTAAACCCCAACCCCTTAAAACCCTAAACCCTCCGATGGCCTTCTCAAGCCGTGGCGGAACCCCGTTGAGCTCACTGAGGCAGTCCTGCCACCAAGCCCGAGAGGCCTAAACCCTAAGCCGCAAAAGCTGTGGAGTTTAGGAGTGTGGCTGCGGGCTGAGGATTTGGTTTAGTTTAACATACGGGCCTTAATAATTAGATAGGGTTTCGGGGCCCATCATACTACAAATGCAATAAGGAACCACAAAAATAGTACTAATTTGTAACTACTTAGGCCCCTGGATTCAACCCTTCGCTGCAAAAGCTTTGGAGCTTGGGAGTGCGGGGCTTCGGGCTGAGGATTCAGTTTTGTTGAGTTTATGCGCAGACTTCAGGATCCAGGGTTCTATACTGAACTTAGAACCCTAGCAAAAATGAAAACCCCTAAACCCTAAACCCCTAAACCCTAAACCCTAAACCGTATTTTAGCTGTTTCTTAGGGATTATGATAACCAAAAATTATTAATTATTTCTAAGCACCCCTGAGGGTTGAAGGCTTGAGGAGACGGCTTTACTTCGTATCAGGGGGAGGGCTATAGGGTTTAGGGTTTAGGGTTTAGTGGGTTTGGGCTTGAGGTATAGATCCCTGCAGTCTGGAAGGCTTTCGAATTGAGCCACGGTTTAGGGTCTAGGGTTTGTGGGGATCTTTTCCCGTAAGGCTCGGGGTTTTGCGCTTGACACAGCAATCAGACAAGGTCGTGTCTGGTGCGAGAAACTGTACTTTGGTATCTGTGTGAATGTACGTCTTCGCGGACTCTAGAACTACCTTGGGGACCAAATGACCCTCATAAGTAGTGGCCCTATACCCTTATACTATGAATCCCTATAAGGTATATGAACCTTAAAACCTCTTGAGGTTCATTTCGTCTTTAAGGTATACGACTTGGAACAGTCTGAAGTGATCCATCAGTATCCCTCACAGCCCTTCGATGCAAACAGCTGCCCTGATCCTGAAGTGACTGCCAACCAATCGTCGAAGGTGCTGGAACTTACTACCCCAATAAGCCACAGAAATAACAGGTTACACTTTCCGATTCCTACTAAAGTATAAGAACCCAAAAAGTTTAAAGGTTAGGTAATGGGAATCTAAGGTAGATCCCTTAAAGGAACCCTTCTGAAGATGCCTTTAAAGGAACCTGAAAAGCCCCTAAGACCCTAAGGATCCCTTGCGGGGATCTAAGCTGCAACTGAACTCACTTACCCTAAACCCTAAACCCTAAACCCTAAAAGCTAAACCCTAAACCCAAAACCCTAAAAACTAAACCCTAAACCCTAAACCCTAAAAACTAAACCCTAAACCCTAAACCCACTTTGAAGACTTGGGCAGCTGCTGCAAGCAGCTTCCCTGATGGCGAAGCCTCAACCTCGACTCCAGAACCTAAACGCAAAATCCTACAGTCCAAGGGTAAAGGGAGGGACCCTTAATAAGGACCCCTAGGTATATACCCTGAATATAGCTATTATATACCCATTACATATATAGCCCATTATAGGGTAGGGGTCCCCATTAAGGGTTCCCCTTTGATACAGCCGGAAGACTCGACGTCGGAATCCCGACAAACCCTGGCGGCCTCAAATACCACAGGGTTGGTTGCAGTAGACCACTTTGAGGATCAGGGTTTTACAAAGCGTTGACCACCTCAAAGGGCCGTGCAAAGTCCAACACCCTGAACCCTACCCCCTATATCTAAACCCTTAAACCCTAAACCCCAACCCCTAAACCCTAAACTTTCAAAACCCTAAACCCTAAACCTTAACCCCTAACCCCTAAAACCCTAAACCAAACCCTAAACCCTAACTCCTAAATCCGAAGGCAGAACCAGATCTTTCGGGCCTGGTATCGGCCCATCAAGAGAACCACCGTCTCACCGCTTGCAAGGGCCTGCCCAGAGAGCCCAATACTCCTTAATTAAGGAATACCTAGGGCTCCTTAAAAGGGCTCCTTAAAGGGATCTATAAGGGTTCTATGAGGGAATTGAGGAATACGGCTTAAATTATATAGGGCGTCATATTATGATTTAAGATATACTCCTTATTAAGGAGTATAGGGCTCTCTGGGTGGATCCCGGGCGAACGGTTTCTCTCACTGGCCCAAAACCAAAGGAAATACAAGTTGAAACTTTCAGAATCGACTACCTTATAAGAACACCAAAAGTTGAAAAGTTCAGTTTACAGCCAATAAGTTCTAGGCCGATAAGCTCTAGGCTGTTCAGTAACCCACTGGGAAAAGTCTTTACTTTCGTAGGCTTCTTATCTTTATAATAGGAACCCAGAAACCTGAAAGTAAAAGAGCCCCCTCCTCCGGTTGTTTCGCGCAAATTGCCAGCCCTCGGCTTTGAAATCATTTTTCAATACACCGCATTGTCCTCTGACCACGCGACGCGAAGCCTGCCAACGACGGAAGCCAGGTGATGTCCGAGCCGTGCACACTGCAACGTACCTCCAAAAATCGGTATCTTCTCCACAGTACCAGTTCGATGACGTCGGCGGCTGAAAATCAGGACCAGGCCTCACCCAGAGAACCCAATACCCCTTAATTAAAGAATGTACCTTAAATCATACAGAAAGGACTGTTGTGGCGTGTCTACATAAGCAGTTTTTACAGGTTCAAGAGTAGCAGTACCAGCCACAACAGTCCCGTTTGAAGTAAGCGACTTACTTTACTAGCTACACCAGACCGGTTCTAAAACAAAGCCCGTGCTCTAAAACTAGGTCTGTCTATTGTTCTGCACGATCAACAACAAAGTAAGAAGTTACAAGCCTTGCTGTTTTATGGAGTAATTTCAGAAACCAAAAAAACCAAAAAAAACAAAAAAAACAAAAAAAACAAAAACCAAAAAAAACAAAATAACCAACCCCATACCTCCGGAGCCGCCCGGTGATATGGGGTCGGTTCTTTTGTTTTTTTTGGTTTTTGGTTTTTTTGGTTTTTTTGGTTTTTTGGTTTTTCCGCTCCTGCACAGGTACGCGCCTGTCAGCCGAGCCCCAAAAAAACAAAACAAACAAAAAACCAAACAAGAAACAACACACAAAACTCTGGTGGACTAGTCTCCTGGAGAATTGTTTTTTTTGGTGTTTGGTGTTTTTGTTTTTGGATTCTTTGTTCCTTTTGGCTTTCTTGGTTTTCTTCCTTAGGTATACTGACGCGCGAGTACACGAATGACGTCGGCCCTGATCATCTCTTTTCCGGGGCGTAGAAAGCAGTGTTGACTATCCGGCAGGCAAGAATTGAAGGAAATAACGGCTTTAAGCCGGTTCGCGTGCCCAGCCTTTTGGGCCTTTTCATGACTTGCAGATACGGTCCTCATGAAGCACTGCGTGGATAATGCCTGACTCCACGGGTGTTCCTAAATAAGAACAAAAACCAAAAGAAACAATACCAAAAACAGCCAAACAAAAACAATATCAACAAGCCAAGAAAACCAATACAAAAAAACTCAAAAACATATTGCGGAAACCTTTGCAATCATGCGCACTTGTGAAAGAGTTCTGGATATTGTTGTTTTTTACAGGTGTATTTTTTGGGTTATGTTGGTGATGTTGTTTTGCTCATTTTTAGAAATGAGTTTACTGTGCTGGTTCTGATCTGCCTTGTCTCATGGCTCTGCTGGAGCTGCCTTGTTCGAGTCCAATATTAAATATTGCTGATCGTATGGCCTTCCCATAGCATCGCATTCCCATACAGTGATAGATTCATGTGTTAACAAATTGATATATCAATATAGTTAATGTAAGGGAACAATAGTATATTTGTATACGTGTATATAATTGTTCTTTCTATATTGATACATTGGTGCATGAGCACAGTAGTATATTGGTGTATTAATATGTTTTCCTATTAGCATATTCGTACATTAGTTCATTAGTATATTATTGGTATACCAGTATATGTACTATACTCTTATATTATCTAATATTGCATAGGTATATCAATATGTTGGCATAGTAGTATATGAATATGTGCGTATGCTTGCGTATTACACTATTCGTATCCATCAATATTTACGTAAATATTGATATTGGTATAAATATTGGCATTAATTACTAGTACTAGTACTAGCATTAATGCTAATATGAATGTGGTGATTTGTGTCCGCAGGAATGTTTGTACTAGTATTACTCTTGACTACATCAAAAATAGTAGCATATTGATACATGAATGCGTTATAATGTATTTGTACTTTAACATAGTGGTATGCATACGTATCTACTTTAGAATCTGCATGTGCGTATTAGTATTGGCATTAATATACGTACTAATATCACTGTGAATATGATTATTGGTATGCACAGAGGCATGAATGTTAAAATTAACATTGGTATTATGCATAGTCGTGTTAGCCTTAAAACAAGCGTTAACATTAGTACAATCGTCTTGGGTTGAGTATCCAACAGTTTATCAATGTCAGTATTAGTAGTGGTGACAGTGTTACTATTGACAAACATAGGAGTATATGTGTTCGTATCTGCAGGAGTGTCGACACTTATATCAATACTGATAATTGAAAAATACGGGCATTGGATTAGCAAAAATAATAAATTAATCGAACTTTCATATTCTGATGACTTGTGCTCGCAGGAAAATTCGGAAAAGCGTCAAAACCCTGGGGTTATGAAAAGCCAATAAGCACTGGGCACATGATCCGGCTTAGAACCATAACGGCTCCTGCCTCATCGCACGAAGCAGCTTCATCAAAATACTATGTGGTACTACGACGCCATTATTCGTAATGTGTGTTTTCGCAGGGGGGGACTTCCCGCCTGGAACCTTCATATTGTTATAGTAACAACCGTGTTAACAATACCATAACGGAAATAAGACTGATTGCAACAATTACGTTAAAGAACTGTTACTACAATCACAACAACAACGGTGACAATTGAAATGACATGAAGGCCGTTCTCAAAGAGAAAGGCCTTGAGCATCTGTATGAGAATCTGTCCTAAGACAGGCCTCATGAGCATATGTCGCTTCGTTTTGGGTGTTCTGCACATATGCGTCCACGTAGTTTTCCATGTCACGTGTGTTGCCACAGAGACCGCTCGAAGCAAAGCATGCTTGTTCTGCTGCATCACAGGTAGCAACGAAGAAGTAAAAAATGCTTATCTTGTGCGTATCTTCCCACGCCACAACAGTCCCCTCTCAAATCATAATATGAAGCCCCCTATAATCTAAGGTATATTCCTTAATTAAAGGGTATTGGGATCTCTGAGCAACTCCATCGTGATGACGTCAACGCCCATGTTGCGGGCGCGCGGGCTGGCAGTGTTTTCACACGGCGGTGGTGTCGCCGCACGACTTGCGTTGGTTGGCTTGTACCACTGAGCAGCCTTTGTTTGCATGGTAGTGAACATGATCCGGGACGGCTTACTAGAAGGGCTTTGAGTGGAAGGTTTCGGGGCCTTTTGTGTTTTGGGTGCAAGATTGAAGCTGATTACTTGCAGCGTACGGTGTAGAAGTATACAAATCAGGCTGTGAGTTCCAGGCTTTTCGCGGCTGGGAACTTCACTGCCCCAGACACCTATCTATCAAAAGGCAAAAGGAGGAACCCTTAATAAGGACCCCTAGGTATAGAACCTTCATATAGCTATTATATACCCATTATGTGGTCCATTAGAGGGTAATTAGGGTTCCCCATTAAGGGTCCCTTTTGTTGCCCTTGGAATCTACCACAAGCACCACATCTGACGATGATATGGCATCTCCCCTAAGCCCTAAACCCTAAATCCTAAGCCCTAAACCCTAAACCCTAAGCCCTAAACCCTAAGCCCTAAACCCTAAACCCAAAACCGTAAACCCTAAACCCTAAATCCTAAATCCTAAACCCTAAACAAGAACCACAGCTGACGATGATATGGCATCTCCTGTCTCCAAACACCAAAGCCCCGCATGGTCGGATCCAATGTCGATGTGCACGTGCCCATAGGCCCGAAAGTAGTTCCTTTTTGGGATTACCTAATAGAAATCTATATATGAACCCCAAGAAGGAACTACTTTGGGGCCTTTGGGTACCCAGACCTTCCAAAATCCTTTCCCTATGCCTCCAGGGACCCTATTATGGGATCCTTAAGGGGTCTAGGGCCCTGACTTTGAGGTCCTTGGAGGGATAGGGCCTTATTTGGGAATATACCTCACATCATATTTGGGTTCCTGTTATATGGGGACTGTTGTGGCGTGGGAAGATACGCACAAGATAAGCATTTTTTACTTCTTCGTTGCTACCTGTGATGCAGCAGAACAAGCATGCTTTGCTTCGAGCGGTCTCTGTGGCAACACACGTGACATGGAAAACTACGTGGACGCATATGTGCAGAACACCCAAAACGAAGCGACATATGCTCATGAGGCCTGTCTTAGGACAGATTCTCATACAGATGCTCAAGGCCTTTCTCTTTGAGAACGGCCTTCATGTCATTTCAATTGTCACCGTTGTTGTTGTGATTGTAGTAACAGTTCTTTAACGTAATTGTTGCAATCAGTCTTATTTCCGTTATGGTATTGTTAACACGGTTGTTACTATAACAATATGAAGGTTCCAGGCGGGAAGTCCCCCCCTGCGAAAACACACATTACGAATAATGGCGTCGTAGTACCACATAGTATTTTGATGAAGCTGCTTCGTGCGATGAGGCAGGAGCCGTTATGGTTCTAAGCCGGATCATGTGCCCAGTGCTTATTGGCTTTTCATAACCCCAGGGTTTTGACGCTTTTCCGAATTTTCCTGCGAGCACAAGTCATCATAATATGAAAGTTCGATTAATTTATTATTTTTGCTAATCCAATGCCCGTATTTTTCAATTATCAGTATTGATATAAGTGTCGACACTCCTGCAGATACGAACACATATACTCCTATGTTTGTCAATAGTAACACTGTCACC